AAGCTTTGGAGGTGAGCTTGTTCTGATCCTAGAATTATCCCCTTTACTAGCATATACCAAACTCCCACCCCACAGTCCCTTAGCTGTGCCTTCAATTTGTGGTTCTGTAAATAGTGTCCCCTGGTGATATGTGAATCTATCCACTAAATCCTCCCTAAATACAGGGGACTTGGCCCTTTACAGGGGCTTTGGCCAGGGGTGTGGCTCTTCTCACAGTCTGAGGTGTTCAGTCAGCTGGCCTCCCAAATCCTACCCTTGGTTCTGGTCGTATGCAATTCCCAGTGTTAGGTGAGAAGGGGTGATGATGGACAGGGAGACACAAAGCCTCCTATACTATACCAGTCCCAGAGACGCAGAGCCCCAGATGATGGCCCAGGGCCATATATGCCATTATTGCCTGAGCCTTTGGCACCATTGATACTTTAGTCCCCATTCACTACATTTCACTCCTCTTTGGAAGCACTAATCACAATCATAACTCCACTATTATCTGTTAAAATCATTCATGTAAGGTCTGTTTCCACACTAGACTATGAGCTCCGTGAGGACAGGAACCAAGTCTGCTGATTCACCACAAAACCATAGTTCCTTTCAAAGTGCCCAGCTCACAGATGCTGAGTGAGCTGACTATACAGAGGAAATAACATTCATCGACAATAATTTTACCCAAAACACTTTGCAGTACAACACTTATACGCTTACTGTATCACCTGATCCTCTAACAAACTGGAGGGTAAAGGTCTTCATGTGCTGGAGCTGGCTCGTACCAGCTTGCTAGAGCTAACTGTTAAACATTCTTGACTTTTTTGCAAGCCAGTTGTTAAACCATTAGTAACGTGATTGAACATGGTGGGGATATTTATATCCTGGAGATCAACAAAGACTATAAATAAGAGGTTTTCTTTTACAAAGAGCAGGTTTATCATCAAAGCACTGGTAGTAGGTGTGTTAAAAAATGTTCTGTAAATGAATAGATGAGCATAACTTTAAATATGGTGCCTCTGAGTTTCAGGAAGATGAAGTGAGACTTTCAAGGTCTCTGACCCTTGCTATAGTGAGATGCTGGCTTCATGCATTTACTCATTTCATCAGGCATTTTTGAAGTGCCAATAATGTGCCAGGAACTTCCTGCCATGGCAAAATGTGATGGGGAAATTAGTAGTTAAGACCAAGGAGCTCCTCAAGAGAGATCCTCTCAATCAGCAGTGATGGTGCCTACCCCAGGAGGTGGGCCCTACTCAGACCCCAGAAACATGACTGGATCAGGACCTGATACATCATGTGGGGTCTGAGAGGGGTCCTGCTGTCACAGACCTAGCCATTCGGTGTGTACAGATGGCCCACGGTGTTTACCCTCTGTCCAGGGCTCCTTCCACAGAACCTGCAGATCCTCTGCCCAAAGCAGCCTCACTGAGCTTCCCAAGGGAACAGCAGTCAAATCTAGACCTCAGCTCACCACCAGAGGCCCCTCTGACAGGGCTAGTTCCTGCTCTCCTTGCACACCCTTAAAAGCTATTGGGATTATACCATGAATAAAGAATAGTCAGAGGCTCCGATGGAAACCACATGGACACTACCCCTAACTGTATGGGTCCTGCTATGGGTTGAACTATGTGTCCATCCCCCAATTCATATGTTGAAATCCCAACCCCCAGTGTCTCCGAATGTAACATCTACAAACCCTATATTCAGAATGTCTCAGAATATAGGGTTTGTGGATGTAATTAGTTAGTTAACTTAGGATGAGGTTAAACTAGAGTAGGGTGGGCTCCTAACATAACCATACCAGTCCGCATAAAAAAAGGGGAAACCTGGACACAAGATGCCCACAGGGAGAATGCCATGAAAGATGAAAAACCAAGGAATATCAAAGATTGCCAGCAGCTAGGGGAGAGGCATGGATCAGATCCTTCCCTCATAGTCCTCAAAGGAACCAGCCCTACTGATAACCTTGACCTTAGTCTTCTAGCCTCCAGAACTATGAGACAAGAAATTTTGTTATGAAGTCACTCAGCTGGTGGTACAGCAGCCAGAGAAAACTAACCCAGGTCCCTTACTTTGCAACTCTCTAAACTGGGCGGTACTACATTAGAGTTTGGGTGACTAATAGGGATGTTAAAGACAGACAAGAGTTAGAGCTCCACGCTGGAGCCAGGTGTGGAATCTAGCAGAAGAGGGGCTGCACTTGGGGTCAGGGCAGAATGACCCTGCCTGAGTGCTGGGGACTGTTACATTCTGCCTGTGAACCCTCCAGTTCTGCGGGACTCACACAGTTGGCTATAGACACCATCTGGAATCACCAGGGTCAGGGACAGAACACCAGCCAGCTGCTCCATCACCAGCGCAGTGGCCTCAAGTTTGCACATGTGATCACACTCCAGAGGCTAGATGCCTACTGGCAGCCCCGCAAGGAAGGTGCCATGATGACAGGGACATGGAAGTGTATGGAGGGAGCTGGGTGGCCAGTGGAATATGCCACTGGCACTTCATCAACCTCCGATGCCTGCAGGATTCCCAGTATCTTATTTTCCTCTGTTAAAAGGAAAAGTGTTTTCGGCAAACCCACAAAGTGGGAAATTTGATTCAGGAAAGAGATGGGTCAAATATGGCTTCCTGGCCTTAGACCCTTGATACAGAGTCCTCATGAACTGTGCACTGATTTAGAGAGGGTTTGCCTTTAACCGACCCTGGATGTTACCAGGCTAACTCAAGGCACAGAGAAGACATTGACCAAATACAGGTCTCCTTTTCTTTGCTTTTTTTTTTTTGGCTTTTTTCCAACAAGTAACTTCTTATCTGAGGTGGTGCTGAGAGGGCTAACTCCCTGGACTCCACGAGACTGGCACTGTCCAGCTCTTGGTCCAATTCCAGGTACTCCTAGTTTTGTCTCTCTGGGCTGAAGTGACAGCCCTTGCGGACCTGGAAAGTGTGGGTGTCAATCCTTGGAATCTACTTCTGACTCTTTCCTGCCTGGCTAGCACCTGGCCAGCTAGCTGGGCATTCACCTTGTTCCCATCCTTCCATACAACCACATGCTATATGAGCACACACTCCACTAAGGAAGACTGTGACCTAAAGGTCAAACAGGAGGAGAAATCCTTATGCTATGAAGAGGTACAAGCTTTCTGCTCCAGCTCTTTAAAGACCACTGCAATTCTCCTGCAGAGGAGCAATGCAGCTCTGGAGAAGTATGGCATAGTGGGCCTCAATGATGACAGCAGATCCTGAAATCACCAGGGCAGTAGAGTTTTAATTATTCTCTCGCAAAGTCCCCATATGTACCTATTGCCCATCCAACCACATGTTCCTGATTCTCAGTTTAGAAAATAGGATCTAACCAACTACCTCTGGTGGGGAGCTTATGTCCCAGAGGGTGTCTCTAGAATCTCACAAGCCCATGGAGGGCAGAGCAATTGCATCGACCCCTCCCTTGTCTAGAGGTCAAAAGCTGGAGGGGAGCCACGGAGCACCATCACAGTGGATAAGGAAGGTCTCACCCTAAGTTTCCTTCCCTCAACCGGCTGCTCTTTTAAGCCGGACACCACAAACGCTCAGCTGTTCTGCTTGCAGTCTGGAGCTCTGGTGCTCTCCTATAGATGATGTTCTTCCTTCTGGATTATCTGTTTCCTTCAGTGGGGAAGTCTGCCACGGCCTGTGATTTGTGCCACTTTTGTTTGCAGGCCATCAATTCTCCTTGCCTCACAAAGAGTATTTTATCTCTTTCTCTCCTAGCCTGAGTTCCTAAGAGCGAGCAAGTGAGGGACACGCCGGCCTCTCATGACTTATATGAAATCAGAGTGAGTTCTTACCACGGTGAGTCCTTAGTGCTTCCATCTTCTCCCTCCTGTATCATCTTCCCTCTTCTGCCTACACACTGAGTTGGTTTTTTTCAAAGTTATGGAAGTCATGAGTGATAGGTCTTCATGTATATTTTGTCAAATAACCGTAGATATTCTCCTCCTTCTCTCTCTCTCTCCCCACTCCCTCAGCTCTTCCTCTTCCTCTACACACGCGTGCATTTTCCTCTGATTGAGTGTGCATGCGTGTATATAGTCACATATGTATAGACACACTTGGGTCATCGTCGTTGTTCATGGTTTATACCTATGATTATATGTCTACTTGTATTTGTAATTGTCATCTCTGAGGAAGCATCCTATGTAACTATATGCGCTGTCGATAAATGCAGGGAACAACAGAATTGTCCAATTTTGGTGTGTTTATATGGAGAGAATGGCTGTTAAAAATATCCATTCTGTAACAAAAAGATAAACCTGATTTCTAGCCATTCAACCTTGTAATAGGTTAAATGATAACAAACCATTCATTGATTTTTTTTGTTTAAAGAGTAATAAACAGAAACATGTACCAATTGAAAGGGCCAGGCAATTCAATTATAATTAGGAAAACAAAAACTGATGAGCCTGAACAATGCTGCCTTGGTTTTGGGGATAAGTACTGAAAATGCCAACTACCTAACAATGCAGTGTTTGTTTTCTCATTATTAAAGGCACCAACACTATCACCTCATTTGTGAAAGCCAAACCCAGTTGAAAGAAATACAAAGCTCAGAAGATAGACATATTTAAAAAATACCCACATAAACACAGACCTAAATATAATGAAAATATATAGCAGAAGAATATTAGAGTAAATTTATATTCACCACTCTACTGATTAATGTACCAGTCCATTCATCCATTCATCTGTCTGTCCGTCTGTCTGTCCATCCATCCATCCATCCACCCATCCATCCATCCATCCATCCATCCATTCATCCATTCACTGATTCAACAAATATGTTTTGAGCTCTTACTATGCTTTAGGAACCATGTTATATAATATATACTGCAAGTATATATTAATACCTAGATTCAAATGACTCCAGTGAAAATAACAATTCTTTTTTATTTTTAGTAATTATTGGCTCAACTTTCCCTGTGTGGCTAGAAGAAGAAATACTTAAACAGCTGAACACAGACAATGATATGCCAACATACCTTTTGTAGCCAGGCGAACGCAGTTGATTTTGGTCTCCTGTGAACAACAAAAGTGAGGTTCCAGTTAATTAGTTGCAGGTTTGATTTGTTATATAAAGAAAAAACATACATATGTATTTTTAATTATAATTTTAAATCTGTCCTTTCCATTTCTTCCCCCATTGGAATCACCTTTTAATTCTATTTCTTCATTCCTTTTCAGGCTAGGCACATACTTGGTTCCTTTCACTTCCTGGCTCCCATCACCTCATAAACTTCTTCCCCAGACAGAACCACTTATAAACATATCAGATACTGCTACTGCATAGCACAGGACAACTTTAACAATGACACTAAGTAAGTACACTGTGGCATGAGTTAGTAGATGGCACCAGGACCATCCTTGGGAAACTATAAATAAATAATGCATCTATCCGCACAGGCTGAAACAGACCCTTGGCAATAGCTCAGTCAATAGGAACGTGTAAGAATCAAACTACAAAGTTCATATTCAAAAAGTCACTTTGGTCCCCAGATCTTTGGTGAACCTCATGGTTTTCATGGATAATGTTGTATGTGTGTGCTCGTGTGGCAATCAAATCTTTGCTGGGTAAACTAATTATTGTTGGCTGTTCCCCAAGTGGACAAAATCCATAAACTCGTGATGTTACTGGGCATGCAGTTGAGTTACAGAAGACTGTGTTTAGAAAGAGAATCATTTTAGCCTGCTTTATTGGGATCATCTCCCAGGAGGCCCTGGAACCAGTTAAAAATTCCAGTTTACTAAGCTATACCTCCAGCAACAGTCTGAATGTAGTGTAGCAATGAAAATAAAAGGCAAAGAATGCAAGTGAGTCTCAAGAATCAAACGTGTGTCCTGCTACTGCTCAGTCATAAGAAATCACGGCATCTTGAAGGCACCTGTGTTAGTCAGGTCTTTGAGGGTTCCTGGACCCAATTCTGTTGTGTGTGTGTGTGCGGGGGGGTGGGGGGTGGTTCCTCCCCTTCTATAACACCAAGCAATCTTCAGACACCGGCAAGGTATCTGGGAATTCAACTCAGTTCTGACACAGTCTACGTGGAGATGGCATCAGATTCCACAGGTTAAAGGTTCAGTTCTACAAGACTGTCCCCCACACCCTACTTCAGATGCCAGGTGCAAGCCTCAGGCTGTTACCTGTGCTTCTGACCTACCAGCTACAGATTGAAGGTTCCAGTGACCTCCTCCTTAGGTTTGATTAATTTGCTAGAGCAGCTCACAGAACTCAAAGAAACATGTTAGTAGATCACCAGTTTATTGTAAAGGGGTGTAACTCAGGAGCAGTCAGATAGAAGAGATGTATAGGGTGAGGTATGTGGGGAGGGGTGCAGAACCTCCATGCCTTTTCCAGAAGTGCTACTCTCCCAATCTTCATGTGATCACCTACCCAGAAGCTCTCTAAACCCAGTCCTTCTGGATTTTTATGGGGGCTTCACTGCATAGTCATTATTGACTTAGTCATTGGTTACTGGCTGATTCAACCTCCAGCCCCTCACCTCTCCCCAGAGGTCCAGTAGGCTGGGGGTGGGGTGGGACTGTGGGACTATGGGACTGAATGTTCTAACCCTCTAATCAGAAGTTGATCCTCCTGGCAACCAGTTCCCTCCTTGGGTGGGGTCCAAAAGTCACCATCATTAACATAACAAAAGACACCTTTATCACCATTGATACTTAGGAAATTCCAAGGACTGAGGAAACTGTGAGCTAGAAACCAGGGACAAAGACCAAATACACATGAGAAATATATTTTTTGTCATTCAGAAATCACAATCTAAGAAATCACAATATTGCATCAGGGTTATGCAGAAGTATAAAACCCATGAACTTCAGTGGCTAAAAACACTAAAGGTGTATTTCCCACTTAAACCAACATGTCCAATGTAGGTGCATGACTAGGTCTGAAGTGGGGTTGTGGTGGTGGTTGGGGGATACTGTAATCACTGTAGGTCCTCAGAGACCAAAGCTGGTACATCTATTTTTTAATTTTTAAATTAAGAAAAATTTTATTTAAATTCAATTTAGTTAACATATATTATTAGTTTCAGAGATAGAATTTAGTGATTCATCAGTTGCATAAACACCCAGTACTCATTATATCAAGTGCCCTTCTTAATGCCCATCACCCATTTACCCCATTCCCCCACCCACTTCCCCTCTAGCACCCTCAGTTTGTTTCCTATAGTTAAGAGTCTCTTATGGTTTTTATCTTATTTTATTTCTCTTTCCTTTCCCCTCTGTTCATCTGTTGTGTTTCTTAAATTCCACAGGAGTGAAATCATGTGGTATTTGTCTTTCTCTGACTGACTTATTTCACTGAGCATAATACCCTATAGTTCCATCCACATCATTGCAAATGGCAAGACTTCATTCTTTTTGATGGCTGAATAATATTCCATTGCATGTGTGTGTACGTACACACACACATATATATACATCACATCTTCTTAATCCATTCATCTGTTGAATGAATGTTGGCTATTGTGGACATTGCTGCTATAAACACTGGGGTGCATGTGCCCCTTCAAATCACTATTTTTGTATCCTTTGGATAAATATCTAGTAGTGCAATTGCTGGGTCATAGGGTAGTTCTATTTTTAACTTTTTAGGAATCTCCATACTGTTCTCCAGAGTGGCTGCACCAGTTTGCATTCCCACCAACAGTGTAAGAGGGCTCCCCTTTCTCAGCATGCTCACCAACATCTGTTGTTTCCTGAGTTGTTAATTTTAGCCATTCGGACTGGGGTAAGGTGATATCTCATTATGGTTTTGATTTGTATTTCCCTGATGCTGAGTAATGTTGAGCATTTTTCATGTGTCTGTTAGCTATTTGTATGTCTTCTTTGGAGAAATGTCTGCTCATGTCTACCTCCATTTTAACACAAGCCTGCACTGTTCACTGAGGCAGGAGAAAAGAATGCTGGAGTTGGGAACTCACAATCAAATACTTTGTATCAGAAGCTACAGTTACTTGACTCAAGTTACATTGACTAGAACCAGTCATATGGCCATGCCTAACTTAAGTGAGGTAGGGAAATGGAGTCTTCCATGCACCCAGAAGTAGAGAAGAAATCATAATGTCTATAGCAGAGTCTATTTTCTCTAGGCACACCTCTGAATGCTAGAAACTGTCTCTTGAAGTATGACTCCCCAGTGGTCTTGATTCTGTTCCTCACACCACAGAAAGTCCTCCCTTGCTTGTGTACAAAAGATGTCTGGATATTGAAAGATGGTTCTCATTTCTATTAATGTTCTTCAACCATTCCTCAGATGATAAGAGTTCAAGTCCTTTGAACCAATATTGCTACTCATCCTGGGACATCTTGCAGTTTCGTCCCTTATTGAGAAGGAACTAGAATAGGAAGCAGCAGTCTACATGTAGTCTTGTCAATATATGATTACCTAGATTATCACTATTTTCTATTTTCCTTAGTTATATGGGCTTCTATTAACATAGCCAACATCTCAGTTTTTCATTGATCACAATGAATGTGCCATCAACCTTCCCCCTACCAAAAAAAAAAAAAAAAAATCTGCCTGCTTCTACATACATAAATGTGGTTGTATTTCTGGAATCCAAGTAGAGAGTCATATACTGATTTCCCCTATTGACTTCCATCTTCTTTGATCTGGTTGCTACAACCTGTCATCATATTCTCCACCATACATAAGTTTTTGGACATAGTTTTCTATAATTTTATCCAGATCATTAATATAGGTGGTAACCTGGAAAATGCCATTGATAAAGATTTGTGACATGTACTAGAATCCGCCTTCCAGGTTGGCATTCATTGCTCATCAGAATTTTTGGATGGTTATCTAACTACTTATTTCCTCAACTGCTTATGCACTTGGATCCTCCTGCTGTGTTTTCCCACCAACATAGCTTGAGGATAGGGTCAAACTCACTTCAGATACTCAGACTTTGTCTACTTCATTTCCCCACTCTATCAGTCTAAGAACTCTCTCAAAGAAAGAAGGTTGGGTTGACATGACTTGTTCTTTAGGACAAGTGTTTCCCTTCCTTTCTTTTTTTTAATGCTGAAAGTGCTCTTTTTAAAAATAAACAATTACTTTACTAAACAACTGGAAAAGGCAGAAATGTTAAAAGAATATCACACACTATGATTCAAATATAGGAAGTATTCATTTGAGGTGTTCATATATTTCAAGTAAGCTATATTTCAAGAAAAAGGTTTTTTTAAAAGAGTATATCCAGAAGAAAGAAGGAAAAATTATGAATAAAAAATAGAAAAATAAAGTGGAACTTTCTAAATGTGATGCCAAAAAGCTTCAGTCACAAATGAGGTAAAACTTGAAAATGATGATAAAAGTGAGCCAATGAATTCTTTTATTTTCATGTTTGGAGAAAGAGCAGATGTCCAACTCCTGTTGGTTTCCATTTCTGTTCTCTGGCTTAAAGGGTCAGTGAGCTGAAGCCTGAGATGGTTACAGAGAGTATGAGCTCCTGAGGACGGAAGGCGGTCTGCACATGGCTACGCAGCACCACAACAACCAACACTGAGAAACCCTGGAGAGTGGAGCTATGCCACTAGGAATGGTCAGAAGGATTGCCAACTTTATATTAATACAACGAAAAGGATTTTGCAAGAACTGTATTAGGAAACTTGCCAATTACATGCAAGATTATTACATACAGGAATGGGCAAGTGTTTGATGAGGATTTCACTGCTGGAGGTAATTTGTAAATATGTACCTAGACTTCAAAGAGAGTTGATCTAATCTTTTCACATCTCAGATTCTATTCTCAGGATGTCTTGGTGGCTTAGTTGGTTAAGCATCTGACTTTTGGTTTTGGCTCAGGTCATGATCTCATGTGTTGTGGGATCAAGCCCCACATCAGGCTCCGTACTCAGTGGGGAGTCTGCTTGGGATTCTCCCTCTCTCTCTCCCACTGCCCCTCCCCTGCTTGTGTGCATATGCATACACGTTTTCTCTAATAAATAAATAAATCTTTTAAAAAAAAGGATCTATTCTCAGGGACTAATCTGAAATGTAG